CAACACCGTTTTGTTGTAAAGAGTAGGCAACAGTCAATTGCCTTTCTAACCTTATATCTTCACAGAACTTTGAAAACTCTAGGGATATGTATTCTCCACCCCTATCGCTTCTGAGTTTCTTAATTTGGTAGCCACTTTATAGCTTAACCATGGATTTGAACCGTTTGAAAATGTTGAAGACTTGAGACTTGTGCTACAAGAAAAATACCCAACACATCCTAGTGTGATCATTAATAAATGTGAGAAAAAATATGTTGCCTTCAACAATGGTTATCTGCATTGGACCATAGATATTAGAGTGAATAAGTTCTAGAGGTTGTGATGCCCTCTAAGTTTTTCCCTTGTCAAATGGTTCCCTGTGACCCTTCCCTGTAGCACATCTAGAGCAAACATGCTCATAGACTTGTAGTCTAGGTAAACCTGCACCACTTCCTTCTCTTGCAGAAGAATCAAACTGATATAGTTTAGATGTCCATATCTTTTATGCCACAACCAAGATGACTCTAGCCATGTGAGGATTGACATATTCCTAAATTAAGGGAAAGCATCTGTTTCCTTTCATTGGAACACTTTCAATCAAATCTTCCATATATATCAACCGTGTAATCACTGAACACAAGCCAATAACCATGCTCTACCATCTGCCTTACACTCAACAAATTCTCATCCAATCCAGGTACAATCATAACCTCTTTAATATATATAGTCACACCTTTCATTTCTATAACCAAGGTACCTTTGCCTATTGACTGCATTAAATCTCCAGTGCCCATTTTAAGTCTACACTTCATATTTTTATCAACATCAATAAGCAAGGATTCATGAAAGGTCATATGATTACTACATGCACTGTCTACATACCATATGTTCATATTTTTTCCAATAGTAGCAAAATGATAGGCATAAAACATGGTTGCAGATTCTGTTACCTGATTTGTAACTTTACAAGCTTTCCAGCCTTGTTTGGTTTATCATAGTCCTTGATGAGATGACCAAAACGATTGCATCCATGGCATTTTGGCTTCCCTTTAAACCAACACTCACCATAGTGTAGCTTATCACAATGCTTGCATTTTCCTTTAGCCTAATCAAAATTTCCTCCTTGGTCATACTTGCCACCTTGATTAGCAAGATTCTAAGGTTTAGGGTCCCATTTCTTTCCTTTCGATTTCCATTTCTTCTTTGGTTTAGAGTTACCAAACGAGGGATTTGACTGAGTCCCTTTTGGATTCACACTCATACTACTGCAAACTCTCTCAGGGGTACTCTCAGCATGCCTATCAAGGCGCTGTGCAAATCCTCTCAATGCAGCAATAACCTCTTGCACCTCAATAGTTTCAATGTCCTTAGTTTGTTCGATCACATAGCAAACATGATCAAATTTTTTGGTTAAGCTTATGAGCAATTTCTGAACCAAACACTCTCTGGGTAAATCTTCCCCATACCTTTTCATTTGATTCACCAGCTCGAGACGACAAGTGAGATACACATACAAGGTTTCATCATCCTTCAATCTCGTATACTCGAAATATCGGCGTATGGATCTCACTAGTTTATCACCATAAAATTCCTGGTGTAAAATATCTCAAGCGCCCTTTATGGTCTCCTCATTCGAGATTATGGGAAAAATATCCTCTGAAATAGCTTTTTGGATGATACCCATCGCCTTAGCATCCTTGATTAGCTTATCACTCATGGAAGCTTTATTTGAATCTGATGAGCCTTCATCTTCAACCTTCTTACCCTTCGATTCTGGAATTTCAAGATCCTTTTCAACTAAATCCCAGATTCCATGTGATTTGAAAATAGTTCTCATTTGGATCTTCTAAAATTCATAGTTGTCACCATTGGATATTGGAGCCCAAAGATCACTACTACTTGACCTAGCCATTTGAGACTTGAATCGATGAACGTAGTTGAAAATTTCACGTTGGATTTCTGAGCACATCACTCACAGATCCAACACCCTAATTCCATATAGAACCTAGGCTCGCGATACCATGTTGAGATTTTAGTAATTTACCATTGATCTGATCACTTGGATTTCGAAGGGAGCAAGAAGAATGAAAGAGAAGAAGCTAGAGAAATAGTCAGAGAGAATATTTCACAGCTGCAACATTCTAACCATTGCAGAATGATGCTCCACTTTCATATATTCATTCATCCCTTACATCAGTTATCATCACCATTCAAATACATAAGCCATTGTGATTATGACACATGGCAATTACAAGGCATGTGAGCCATTGAAAATGAAAATTGATCTAAGTCCTACACTTGGCATATGAGCTCAAGCTATCTCAACAGAAAACAGTTTCACAAAATGACAAAATAGAAAATCTACTAAGAAATCATTTACTAACAAGAAATTAGTAAGCAATTTATTTTTCAACAGCCTGTTCGGTTCGTTCCTGACTTTTGGATGGTAGCAAATGGTGATGCAGCGTGACCGTGGGCTAGGAAACAAGCCCAGCATTTGAGCCTTATTCTGGGTTGCTGCTGCTACAACTGCTAATGTTATTGGTGGCAGAGGCTGCTTAATCGTGAAGAATAGCGGCATGGGGTTGGGGCCACGTCGTGGTTTTAATTGTCTGGTCCAAATCTAGGCACGTTGAGAGTGCCGTTCGTCATAGTTTTGAAATTCCTAACCAAGCTTTCCTTTCTCTAGGGCAAATGAATCAAGGAATTAAAAAATTCGAAGATTGGGGTATGTTAGAAAAATTCAAAGAGAGAGAAATTCGAAGAGAATTGCAAGAACTTCTTTGAGATTTGAATCAATTTCTCAATGAAGCACCCACTTGTGGTAGCAAAATTTCGTCATCATAGATTTGATGAAATTGTACCTACACAAAAAAATAAACACATTTGGTTATAGCCAAAGCCACGCGCCCAATAAAAAGGGAGTTTAAGCCAATAAACCTATGATGCCTAAGTTTCTCTGAAAAAAGAGAGAAATTTAGGATTGAGTTGTATAGAGTTCACTTTAACTTACTTGAGAAGTGTGTAGAATAAGGTATTTATATGGAGCATGGTAGTATCGAGGATCTAAAGGGAGGGATAATTCGGCTAAACCACACAATGGGTAGCCTAATTTGGTATTTAATTCGCCATCCACGAGATTCGAACCTAAGATCTCTTTCTTTCAATTGAAAAGGAATACCACTAGACCATAGTACTCAATGGCAATCCTTGTTGATATTATTAAAGTTAATTAATAATATCCTAAAAATTATCTTGAAGAATCTGCTTCCTTGAGGAAAAGAATATGTCTTTAATTGGAAAATCTTAAAGGTAGGATTTAGATATTAATTCTACCATTAATTTCCTTGCCTTATCTCCTTTTCATGGGCAGAGGAGCTTAGAGAAATTGTTATTAGCAACTCAGGTCATCTTGGTGGTTGAACTGCACGTGGGACGAATGTAAGCCTTGCCAATTAATGAAGGCATTTCCGTTAATTGGAAAAAAAATCCACGTGCCAGATCTAGGATTTTTTTGTTTTTTTATAATTATTTTTGGCTTCACAAAATCCTACCGCTAATAAGATGTGAGTTGGAACAATATCACTGGCATAGAAGGTGTACAATGTTGAATGTTGAGCCGAAGTAGTTGATCATATCTTAATTTTGTATATAAGATTGTGACCTGAAGTAGTTGATCATATATATATATATATAAAACATGTTACATAAGTATAGAGACAAAAATAGATCGGAAGAATGTATTTTTTCTCTCCGTCGTGAGAGCCTTTTCTCCTCTGTGAGAATCCGCCGTTGTGCGAGTTTCAGTGTGGGTGTGGGTGCTCTTTCCTGCTGGTTCTGGGTGCTCACCTGGTGTTGATGGATCTCCGTTAGGGCGTCGTTTGCGAGGGGTGGGTGGATCTCTTTTGGGGCGAAGTTTCGAGGGGTAGGTAGAGCTCTTTATTTTTCTGCGATTGTCTTTGTTCGGGATTGCATCTCTTCTGATTGTGGTGGGGCTTTGGTAGGGCTGTCTGTCCATGTCCTGTTTGTCTGCTGTGGTTCTGGATTTCTGTAGGGGGGTTGTCAGATTGGGGTTGGTGGAGCTTTAATTTCGTCTTGTGTTCTGCGATTGGGTTCGAGCTTCTTCTGGTGGGGCGGGTTAGAATGGAGGAGAGTGGTCAGGGATTTTATCCCTTCTATTCTCTGAGTTGGGGGTTAGGGTTATACTGGGTGGTCAATTTGGGGGTTGAGATCTTATATCTAGGTACGATTGGTTTCGATGTGGGGTTGACAGTATGGCACAAATTTGGCCTCTGTGAGGATGGAGTTAAGGTGGGTTCTGACAAATCTCAAAGCATTGAATGCTGGGATGGTCTTTATGGGTCTTATGAGATGTTGGTTGGCAGCGTTAAAAGAGCCCATCCCATTTTGTCCCAAAATGGTAGGTATGTGCAGGCTGATGCTTTTATTGACATAGTTATTGCACTTTTTTTTGCTATTACCGATGATTTGAGGCAGATTCAAGAGTTACGTCTGTCACCGGTGAAAGCTCATAGGGTTTTTTCTGAGCATTCCAAGTACTCTGCGGCATCTCTGGGGCTGTCGAAGGTGTGGAGTCTGCTACTTATGGAAAATTCTGGTGTGGAAGAGCTAGTTGTTCATTTGGATCGCTCGCTGGATCTGTCTACGATGGAGATTGGTGTTAAGTTAGTTGGTATGGCTTTGACGCAGAAGCCACTGAATAGGTGGGGTATCAGAAACATCCTTAACTTGGTGTGGAAGGATCTAGGTGAAGTGGGAATTAAATGGGTCCGAGAGAATGTGTTCATCATCTCGGTTCCGGATCAGAGTGTGGCTAAGAAAATCTTGGCGCAGGTGCCGTGGGCTGTCATGAAGAAAAAATTTGTAGTGAAAGCTTGGCCCCCGGACCTTGCTTTGGAGGAGGTTGACATGAAGACTGTTCCTTTCTGGGTTCAAATTCTGAGCATTCCAAGTACTCTGCGGCATCTATAGGGCTGTCGAAAGTGTGGAGTCTGCTACTTATGGAAAATTCTGGTGTGGAAGAGCTAGTTGTTCATTTGGATCGCTCGCTGGATCTGTCTACGATGGAGATTGGTGTTAAGTTAGTTGGTATGGCTTTGACGCAGAAGCCACTGAATAGGTGGGGTATCAGAAACATCCTTAACTCGGTGTGGAAGGATCTAGGTGAAGTGGGAATTAAATGGGTCCGAGAGAATGTGTTCATTATCTCGGTTCCGGATCAGAGTGTGGCTAAGAAAATCCTGGCGCAGGTGCCGTGGGCTGTCATGAAGAAAAAATTTGTAGTAAAAGCTTGGCCCCCGGACCTTGCTTTGGAGGAGGTTGACATGAAGACTGTTCCTTTCTGGGTTCAAATCCGGGGAGTCCCTTTAAGTTTGGTTTCCAAGGAGAATGTTACTCGGCTCATTAAGACGGCTGGTGTTTTTATGGAGATGGAGGATCCAGCAAAAGCTCGAGGCTTCTTAAGGGTGAGAGTGTTAGTTAATTCGGAGAACCCGCTTGTTCTGGGATGTTGGTTGAAAAGGGAGGTGAACCGTGAGACTTGGGTGAAGTTTAGATACGAGAGGCTTCAAGATTTTTGCTATCATTGTGGGCGTATTGATCATATTAATACGGAGTGCTCTTTCGCGGTGAATATGGGTGGGGCGGGAGGCTTTGGAGATTGGATCAAAGCTCCTCATGTGCGCGAGTTTGTGGAGCATGTGCGCCCGTCGCGATTGGGAGTAGGCGAACGGAGGTTGGTTGGAATGGTTAGGGGCAGTGATCGTCCTGAGTTGAGGTTGCAGCGTTCGATCCACAATGAGGCTCCGAGCAGGAAAGACACTTCTGGGGTGACTGCTGGGGAGCTTGGTTCCCATGTTCGTGACAAGAAGAAATGGCGTAGGTTTCAGCGCCAAGCTTGTCCTGCTAGTCAGATTCAAGTGGTAGTGCCTCAGCTGCGTCGCCACCTGAGATGGGAGTGCGATGATGGGAGTTTCCCGTCAGTAATTAATCAACTGGTCTTTCAGAGGGGAGAAGGAGAGCATTCGGTTCGGATTCGGGATGTTAGTGAGGCAGATTCTGGGACTCCACCAGTTGGTGATTTCGAGGGGTTCACGGGGACTTTGGCTTCTACCTCTCGATTGTGCTCAAGCCTGTTGCGGCATGAGGTGGGTGGCATTAAGCGAGGAGTGGAGACATCGAGTATGGACTTAGTTCCATCCCCCCAAAAGAAAACTAGAGGGCCCAACCCGGACACTGATAGACAAGTGATACAGGACGGCACTATGGAAGTAAGTGATCTGTGGGATCAGGTGGAGGCTGATGCGGGAGAGAATGGAAGCTGTGTCTGGACTGTTTGTGCGGGCAATCTGGCTCGGGGTGGTGGCGGCTGGCCCTCAACAGCCGCAAGATCGCCATGATTCTGGTGTTTTGGAACTGCCGTGGTCTAGGGTCGGACACGGCAGTTAGGGCCCTCCATGGGCTTATTAGAAACAAACGACCTTCTATGATCTTTTTATCTGAAACTAAAATGAAAGATCATAGATTAAATGGTGTTAGGAGACGTATGGGTTTTCATTATGGTATTAATGTTTCTCCGGTTGGCAGGGCAGGTGGGCTAAGTTTATGGTAGGATGATTCAGTGGAGGTGCAATCTCTGTTTTCTTCTAAGCATATTATTGATGTTATCTTGCGCAAGGGTGGGGATAGTAATTGGGTCCATATTACTGGAGTGTATGGAACTCCCTACAGGGAGGATAAGGCTGAGTTTTGGGAGTGGATGTCGAGTCATTTTTCTCCTGCTGATATTCCGTGGCTTTGTGCTGGGGATTTTAATGAATTTCTTTGGGATCATGAGAAGTCTGGGGGGGTGGAGGCTCTCTACAACAGGCCTAGGTATCTGGAGACTTTCATGCAGGTTACCAATTTGTGGGATTTGGACTTTAATGGTCCTGCTTTCACTTGGCATGGTATGCGCCACGGTCATCTGGTGGAGGAACGGATTGATCGGGCTTTGATAAACGAGCTTTGGCAGGATTTGTGGCCGAATTCTTTGGTTACGCATGGGACGGTTATGGGGTCTGATCATTGTCCTCTCATTATTCAAACCGAGTCGGAGAGTATGCAGGGGCGAAGAGTGTTCAAGTTTGAGGCGTTCTGGGCTAAAGAGATTGATTGTGATCAGGTGGTGCGCTCTTGCTGGAATAGGCAGGCTCCGAGTGAGATTTTGGTGAGGTGGACGAAGAAAATAAACGATTGCAAATCTAGTCTTATTCGGTGGAGCCAAAATAAATTCAAGAAGAGAGGTCTGTTGAATCAGGAACTCCTGCATCAGTTGCAGGAGCTTCAAAAGGATTGGCGCTCTAATATTGAAGTCATTAAGCAGAAAACTCAGCTCGTCGATGAATTGAGGGCTAAGGAGGAAAGCTATTGGATGCAGCGTTCTAGAGTTAGATGGCTTCGTGATGGGGATGCCAATACAAAGTTCTTTCATAATTCTACTTTGCAACGAAGACAACGCAACCAAATTATCAAAATTAAGGATGAGCTTGGGAACTGGGTGGAGCAACCGGGACGTGTTCGAAAATTGGTGGAGGATCATTTTATTCACACGTTTACTACTGGGGGAGCCCGGAACTGGGGATCTTTGTTGGATTGTATTAGCCCGAGAGTGACGGAGGATATGAATCTGGCGCTCCTTAAGCCGGTGTCCGAGGATGAAATCAAGACATCGATCTTTAAAATGGGTGGTCTTAAAGCTCCGGGACCGGATGGTTTTCAAGGCATATTCTATCAATCATTTTGGGAGCATGTCTATGAGGATGTCTGTGCTTTGGTGGGGGAGTTAATGCAGGGGTCGTCTAGCCTGACTTCTCTTAATGCTACGTATATTGTTCTGATCCCAAAGGTTCCGCACCCGGAGACGGTTTCGCAGTTTCGGCCTATTAGCCTGTGTAATTATTCTTACAAGGTGTTGTCTAAGGTCTTGGCAAACCGGTTAAAGGTGATTCTTCCTATGCTTATATCTCCCTCCCAAAATGCTTTTGTGGCGGGTCGTCAAATTCAAGATAATATCGGGATTGCTCATGAAATGTTCCATTTTTTGAAAGGGAGAACTGCGAAACGGAAGTTTGAAATGGGAGTCAAATTGGATATGCAGAAAGCCTATGATAGAGTTGAATGGGATTTCCTTGATGCGGTTATGGAGAGAATGGGGTTCTGTTGTATGTGGAGAAGGCTTGTCATGGGTTGTGTTTCTACAGTTAATTTCGCTGTCCTTCTTAATGGGTAGCCAGGCAACAAGTTTGCTTCGTCCAGAGGTCTCAGGCAGGGTGATCCTTTATCTCTTTATCTGTTTATCATTCTGGGGGAGGTTCTTTCGTGCATGATTCAACCTGCGATTGACGACAAACAGCTGGAGGGAGTTAGGATTGGTGTATCGGAGCCCATTATATCCCACTTGTTCTTTGCGGACGACACTCTTCTTTTTTTGCGTGCGGGGGATAATTATTGTAGAAATTTGCTCTCTATTATTGATAGGTACTATGAAGCTTCGGGGCGGAAAGTGAATCTCCAGAAGTCCAGTATTTATTTTGGTGCAAATGTTCCGAAAGGGGTGGTTGCCAATTTGGGTGGCATTCTTGGTTTGTCTGTAGTGGATAATCCTGGCACTTATTTGGGTGTCCCAGCCATCTGGGGTCGGTCCAAAAAGCGTGGCCTTGCTTATGTGAAGGGCAAAATTTTGGGAAAGCTCCAAGGGTGGAAGCAGAGTGCGTTGTCGAGGGTGGGCAAAGAAGTTCTGATTAAGGCTGTGATCCAGGCCATTCCTGCTTATCCTATGTGCATTTTTAAATTTCCTTCTGTGGTCTGTCATGAGTTGGATGCCCTGGTTGCGAGATTTTGGTGGGGAAGCCATGGGGAGAACCGAAAGATCCACTGGGTGTCTAAGGAGGTTCTGGGCCTTCCCAAGGATATGGGTGGCCTGGGTTTTAGAAATTTTCAGGAGTTTAATGATGCGTTACTTGCTAAGCAATGCTGGCGTTTGCTTACGGAGCCGAATTCATTGTGGGCGAGGGTTATTAAGGCCAGGTACTTCCCGCATTGCTCTTTTTTGGAGGCTAAAAAAGGGGCTCGGGCTTCTTGGGCTTGGTCCAGTCTTCTCTCGGGCAGGGAGCTTCTTACTAGCGGATCTCATTGGCAAATCATGGGTGGGGAGGAGGTGAGGGTTTGGGTGGATAGGTGGCTGCTCTCTCTCCCTTCGGGGCACCCTATGCCGCTTGGTTCTGTCTCTGTTACGTCGAACTTACGGGTCAGCTCCCTCATTGACTCCTCTTCCCGGCAATGGGATTTTGATTTTCTAAGACCGTTTCTTTCTTTAGCGGATCAAAGGGCTATTCAGGAAACAATTATTGGAGACTCGAGGTGGAAGGACAGGCTTGTTTGGGCTGCTAACCGGAATGGCAAATACTCGGTGAAATCGGGGTACAGATGGCTGCAAGTTCGCTCTATTGAGGTGAGGGATCATCGGATGCCGGTTGTTCGTTCGATTTCTAAAACTCTATGGAAATGCATTTGGCAGTTGGCTGTTCCTCCCAAAATTCGGCATTTCTTATGGGTTTCGTTGCATCTTGGCCTGCCTACTGGTAAGGCTCTTTTTTCAAGAAGGTTATCATTCTCTCCCTCTTGTCCTCTTTGTTAGAATGCTGATGAAACTGTGGAGCATGTCTTCCTTCGCTGTCCTTGGGTGGCGGCTGTTTGGTTTGGTGGAGCGTTGAATTACAAAGTGGATGCTGCCGGTATTGTCTCGTGGGATCGGTGGTTGCAGGATGTGTTTTCTCCTAACTGGGGTTCTTCGGCTGACAGGCAGTGGTTCCAAGCTTATGTTTCGTTCTCTTGTTGGTTCATCTGGAAAGCTCGCTGTGATTTTGTGTTCAACCAGGTTCCTGTGAATCCATCTAAGGTTATTTTTTCGTTGTCGACCGCCTTTGGGAACTTTTTGCTTGCTATGTCTTCTGTGGGTATTGCTCAGCCTGTCTCGGTTTCTCGGGAGGAGGTTGCTGTCAGGTGGTGTCCTCCTTCTTCTCCTTTTGTTAAAATCAATGTAGATGCTAGTTGGTCTAAATCATCTCGGATGGGTTTTGCGGGGGTGGTTGCTAGACAGGACGGTGGGCGTTTCCGGGCTGCGGTAAGGTCTTCTGTTTTGGCTCCTTCTTCTCTTGTGGCTGAGTCTTTTGCGATCCTGCGTGGTTGTGAATTGGGTGCCTCGTTGGGTTTCAGTTCTGTTCTCATTGAATCTGACTCTCTTCAGGCTATTTCCTATTTAAATGGTTCTCTTGAAAATGGCAGTTGGGAGGCTTTCCCCATTTTGGCTAGAGCTCAAAGGTTGGGATCAGCTTTTCAGAACTGTCGCTGGTCTTGGGTTCCAAGATCAGCCAATTTGGCAGCGGATGTTCTTGCGTCGGCTGATTTTACGGAGATGTGTGATTTTGTTTGGGTTGACAGACCCCCATCTTCGTTAGTTCATGTATTAAGTAATGACGGACTGCCTTGCCCTCATTAGCAGGTTGTGGTGGGTTTGGGGTGACACTATCTCTTAGTGATTGTGTCGGTTGTTGTATCCCTGCTCACTGCTTTGCTTGGTCTTTATTTCGTTGTGTTTGCCTTGTCGTAGGCTCTCTTGCTTCTGTTTGGCTTCTTAGCCTTGGGTTTCTTAATTTAACTCAATTCTTCAAAAAAAAAAAAAAAAAAAGTATAGAGACAAAAGAAAATAATCGACATAATGCTCCCAAAGATTTCAACGTATGCATTGCTGCCCAAGAATTGTATACAGTATCTCCACACATCACGAGGCCATAATGATGGAGAGAAAGTTCCTGGAAATTTCCTATGCACAGCCATATAGGTCCCCTCAGTTCGTAACTTCATGTGCATTATGATGATTCAACGGTTGTCATCCTGCATGCAAAGTGGCTCATAAAATCCTACTAGAAAAGTATACAACCCAAAAAAAATAAAATCCCTACTTAAATAATAGTATTAATATAACTCTAAAAGTCATTCAGTACTACGGTTTGATGATATTTCTCTTTATTTATAAGTAAGAGGTATTAGGTTCGAATATCGTAAATGACGAATTTGGTACTAAATTAGGTTACCCATTATGTAGCTTAGCTGAATTCCTCTCTCTTCTTAATGTAAAATATATTGTTGCACTTAAAAAAAAAAAAAAGACTTCGTTATTCTTCCTTTTTTTATGTGTGTTGAGATTATCAGTACTATTCATAAAAGATATGATGCAATAGGGACTTGCCATTGTGAAAAATTATTGTTCAGGATAGGGTTTCTCAAAAATATCTTTGGAAAATTTGTGGCAAAACAACTATGTATAACGCAAGTGATTTTCACACTACATTTTAACCTTATATAATACAACTCTTAATTTTGGCCACTGATTCTCTTTTAATTTATTAATTTAATGTTTGAAACAAAAGAGTGCGAGTAGTGAAAAGTGAGTAAAAATTATTTTCCATATAAAAATGTAGGACAACAACATTTACAAGAGACAATTTCCCAATGCTAGTTTAGTCCAAGCAATATTCTAAAGGAAAAAGAGGGTTGAACTAAACGCAGTAAATTGGAGATATTCTAAACACAATGACAATCCACCAAGAATAAAAAATATAAAAATACAAGTTAATTAAACTCTTATCTTTTGTTCTGTTACCATCATCCATGATAGAGTCGTTGCGCAAACATGGTGCCCAGAGAAAAGACACATCGTGCTTAGGAATTTGACACATATGCTGATAAAGACACCACCCTTTCCTCATATCCTTCTAGCTGCTGACAACAAAAACCAAAACCTAATTTTCCATATAATCCCAAACCTTTTAATATTTTTCAAGCTCATCACTCTGATTCAACTTAGCTTGCTCATTAAGAGTCTCTCTCTCTCTCTCTCTCTCTCTCTACATATATAGATGGGTTTTCACATGGCAGCTGTAGCACTCATCAAACTCAAAGTCGTCACCATTTCCGCCTCTCACGGCAACGCTGTGCTGACTGGGTTGATCTGGCCGTTTGTTCTCAAACTCTCTTTCAGCTTCAGACTTCTTTATCAAACCTACTCCGAATTCAGCCATGCATCGAGGCTCTTCTTTTTCCAGCTCAATCAGATTGCAGTTGCTGGTTTGGATGACGATGCAAATCGTCGTCATCGGCAGCCAGTTACTAGGTTGCAACGAGCTCTGAGGCTGCTGAGACACACTGTGACTCAAGAAAGACAGTTACAGGCCTTGGAGTTGGATGAGCAGAGCATGCATGCCCTCGCCATGGTTGCACTTTGAGCTTCATGTGGGTGAGAATCTATGAATTACTATGTGACTGCGTTTTGTTTTCCTTTTCTTTTCTTTTTACTGGGATTCGGTGAATGGATTTTACTTATATTTTAACTTTTGGTTCGCTACCAAGTTTAATATATGGAAATGTCGATCTAAACTGTTAATTATGATTAAGATGCTTTAAACTGGCTGGTTGAATTTTACTCTCCGGCTCGTGTGACAAGAGTTTCCATTGTATAATTGTGAAAGAGAAATAATTTTTGCACACCTTTTTCTCTTGCAAAACATGTTTAAAGTTGTTCCTTGATTTTTTTACTCGATCAATATATTAAAAATAAAAAAGGGTTGTTCCCGTTTAATGGCATGTTTACTAATTTAGTGCAGATGAATTGAATTGAGGCAAATGACACACACTTTTTCAAGCCTCTCACGTGTTTAATTTTGTATGTTCTTTTGGTTTCACTTATTCAATATGATTTTCAGATATAAAGAGGAGTGTGAGAAACTAAAAATAGTGTGAAGAGTCGTGTTTATAAAAATTGGTTGGAGATGCGCCATTTGTTGAAATAATTAATATAAGAAACCTAATGGAAGTCGGTGAAGCCCTGTATCAAGGGATGTCATGTAGTCCCCCTAAATTAAGGGATCTTGTATAGCCTTTCAAAAGCTTAAATTAAGGAGTTGCACGTGCTGTGCTTTAACTCCTTCCCCCTTTTATATTTACTTGAAACTTGTGTAGATTCTTTCAGTTAATACAGAAAAATCCTTTTTGCCATTTTTAATATGGTATCACAGAGCTAAGGAAATCCAAGTAGACCCTAGTTTCTTCTCGTTGCATTTTTTTCTTTTGCTTTTTTTTCTTCTGCGTCGTTGTTCTTTCATGGCTGACGAACAGAGTTCGGATGGAAATAAGTTAGACATTTCCAGTCCTTTTTTCATTCACCATTTTGACCATCCGGCGATGGTTCTCATCTCCAAGCTTCTCAACGGAGACAACTACTCCACTTGGTGTCGTTCTGTGAAGCTTTCTCTGAGTGCTAAGAACAAGCTGGGTTTTGTGAATGGCACACTGAAGGCTCCTGATGAAAGCAAGAAACCAGATGATTTTGCTTTCTGGAAACGATGCAACGACATGATTGTTTCTTGGATCTTGAATTCAGTTGACCAGACTATCCATGATAGCATTGTCTACTACACCACACCCCAAGCAAATTGGCAGGATCTTGAAGATCGTTTCAGCCAAGGTAATGCACCTAGAATGTATCAAATTCAACGAGATATAACTTCTATTTCTAGTAATTAATATAAGAAACCTAATGGAAGTCGGTGAAGCCCTGTATCAAAGGATGTCATGTAGTCCTCCTAAATCAAGGGATCTTGTATAGCCTTTCAAAAGCTTAAATTAAGGAGTTGCACGTGCTGTTCTTTAACTCCTTCCCCCTTTTATATTTACTTGTAACTTGTGTAGATTCTTTCAATCAATACAGAAAAATCCTTTTTGCCATTCTTAATATGGTATCACAGAGCTAAGGAAATCCAAGCAGACCCTAGTTTTTTCTCGCTGCATTTTTTTCTTCTGCTTTTTTTTCTTCTGTGTCATTGTTCTTTCATGGCTGACGAACAAAGTTCAAATGGAAATAAGTCAGACATTTCCAGTCCTTTTTTCATTCATCATTTCGACCATCCGGCTATGGTTCTTGTCTCCAAGCTTCTCAACGGAGACAACTACTCCACTTGGTGTCGTTCTGTGAAGCTTTCTTTGAATGCTAAGAACAAGCTGGGTTTTGTGGATGGCACATTGAAGGCTCCTGATGAAAGCAAGAAACCAAATGACTTTGCTTCCTGGAAACGGTGCAACGACATGATTGTTTCTTGGATCTTGAATTCAGTTGACCAAACTATCCATGATAGCATTATCTACTACACCACACCCCAAGCAATTTGGCAGGATCTTGAAGATCATTTTAGCCAAGGTAATGCACCTAGAATGTATCAAATTCAACGAGATATAGCTTCTATTTCTCAGGACCAATTATCTGTTGTTGGTAATTATACAAAACTGAAGAGTTTGTGGGATGAACTTGCATCCTACAATGATCAAGAGTCTTGCACCTGTGGTACATTAAAGAAGTAAGGTGATCAAATTGAGAGAACCAGATTAATGTCATTCCTCATGGGTCTCAAAGAGTCTTATGGTGCTGCTCGTGGCAACATCCTGATGATGAGTCCATTGCCCTCTGTGCATTTATGGCGCGTTTACTAATCCGTAATCAAATTGGGAGGAATTGAATTGAGGAGGAAATGAAATGAGGCGGAATCAGAATCGGATTCCTGTTGAAGTTGTTTACTAAAACTGTCTGGAATCGGAATAGAATTCCATAAAACTGTTTACTAATTCAACAGAATCGGAATATAAACCAATATGATTACTAAAATGCCCTTGTTCCAAGTAATGTAATTACTAAATTGTCCTTGTTGAAAATAAATGATTTTTATGCTATAATTATTGAAAATTAAGTTTATTTATATAAAATTAAATTTATCTTTACAAACTTGATCTTTTCTTTCTCCCATCCTCTTATCCCCATCTTTCCTTCACCTTCTTCCAGAGCACCCCCGGTCGATCTCTCATGCCACTCCGTTTCCTTTCATCCCCATCTTTTCTTCACCTTCTTCCAGAGCACCCCCAGTCAATCTCCCATGCCTCTCCGTTTCCTCTCATGATCCTCTGCTTCAAAACCCCTATTTTCTCCCTTGTTTTCTTCAACTCCCTCTTCGTTTCCGATCTCGAAATTTGATCCGCTTCGATTCGAATGATCACCTTTTTTCGTATGATGATCATCCCCTATTTCCAAACTCAAATTCTGTTTCTGGGCATAATCCAAAACCTCCCAAGAGGGTTTAATCACAATACAAGAAGGGTAAAACTTGTTCATGCTCAATCCGCAGCAAGAACAGTTCAACCTCTCTTCTCCATTTTCAGTGACTTTCTCGTTGCCGTCTCGAATCATCCTAATTTGCTTCATCCATGGAAAAAAAAAAGCAAACTTCTTTGACCACCAGAGCACCCTCAGTCTCCCACGCCTCTTCGTTTCATCCTTGCTGCCTTCTTCTTTCCCAGCCCGCACAGCCCTTCCCACCACCCATCATACTCACAGGTCCTCCACGCTCCTCAATCCTCCATATCCTCTTCTTCCCCAGCCCCCACAACCTCCCATAT